ACTGTCATGTTTGAGTGACTTTTTTTTAAGGTGTTTTATTCTGTTTCTGTTCTTACTGTCATGTTTAAGTGACTTATAGTTATGTGTTTTATTCTGTCTATGTTCCTACTGTCATGTTTAAGTGACTTATAGTTATGTGTTTTATTCTGTTTATGTTCTTACTGTCATGTTTAAGTGACTTGTAGTTATGTGTTTTATTCTGTTTCTGTTCTTACTGTCATGTTTAAGTGACTTATAGTTATGTGTTTTATTCTGTCTATGTTCCTACTGTCATGTTTTGTAGTGACTTATAGTTATGTGTTTTATTCTGTTTATGTTCTTACTGTCATGTTTAAGTGACTAACAGTTGTGTGTTTTATTCTTTTATGCATTTTCTTACTGTCATGTTTGAGTGACTTTTTTTTATGTGTTTTATTCTGTTTCTGTTCTTACTGTCATGTTTAAGTGACTAACTGTTATGTGTTTTATTCTGTTTATGTTCTTACTGTCATGTTTAAGTGACTTATAGTTATGTGTTTTATTCTGTGTATGTTCTTACTGTCATGTTTAAGTGACTTGTAGTTATGTGTTTTATTCTGTTTCTGTTCTTACTGTCATGTGTAAGTGACTTATATTTATGTGTTTTATTCTGTTTATGTTCCTACTGTCATGTTTTGTAGTGACTTATAGTTATGTGTTTTATTCTGCTAATGTTCTTACTGTCATGTTTTGAAGTGACTAACAGTTGTGTATTTTATTCTGTTGATGTTCTTACTGAAATGTTTTGAAGTGACTAACAGTTGTGTGTTTTATTCTACTTATGTTCTTACTGTTATGTTTTGAAGTGACTAACAGTTGTGTGTTTTATTCTGTTTATGTTCTTACTGTCATGTTATGAAGTGACTAACAGTTGTGTATTTTATACTGTTTATGTTCTTACTGTCATGTTTTGAAGTGACTAACAGTTGTGTGTTTTATTCTGTTTATGTTCTTACTGTCATGTTTTGAAGTGACTAACAGTTGTGTGTTTTATTCTGTTTATGTTCTTACTGTCATGTTATGAAGTGACTAACAGTTGTGTATTTTATACTGTTTATGTTCCTACTGTCATGTTTAAGTGACTTATAGTTATGTGTTTTATTCTGTTTATGTTCTTACTGTCATGTTTAAGTGACTTATAGTTATGTGTTTTATTCTGTTTATGTTCTTACTGTCATGTTTAAGTGACTTGTAGTTATGTGTTTTATTCTGTTTCTGTTCTTACTGTCATGTTTAAGTGACTTATAGTTATGTGTTTTATTCTGTCTATGTTCCTACTGTCATGTTTTGTAGTGACTTATAGTTATGTGTTTTATTCTGTTTATGTTCTTACTGTCATGTTTAAGTGACTAACAGTTGTGTGTTTTATTCTTTTATGCATTTTCTTACTGTCATGTTTGAGTGACTTTTTTTTATGTGTTTTATTCTGTTTCTGTTCTTACTGTCATGTTTAAGTGACTAACTGTTATGTGTTTTATTCTGTTTATGTTCTTACTGTCATGTTTAAGTGACTTATAGTTATGTGTTTTATTCTGTGTATGTTCTTACTGTCATGTTTAAGTGACTTGTAGTTATGTGTTTTATTCTGTTTCTGTTCTTACTGTCATGTGTAAGTGACTTATATTTATGTGTTTTATTCTGTTTATGTTCCTACTGTCATGTTTTGTAGTGACTTATAGTTATGTGTTTTATTCTGCTAATGTTCTTACTGTCATGTTTTGAAGTGACTAACAGTTGTGTATTTTATTCTGTTGATGTTCTTACTGAAATGTTTTGAAGTGACTAACAGTTGTGTGTTTTATTCTACTTATGTTCTTACTGTTATGTTTTGAAGTGACTAACAGTTGTGTGTTTTATTCTGTTTATGTTCTTACTGTCATGTTTTGAAGTGACTAACAGTTGTGTGTTTTATTCTGTTTATGTTCTTACTGTCATGTTATGAAGTGACTAACAGTTGTGTATTTTATACTGTTTATGTTCTTACTGTCATGTTTTGAAGTGACTAACAGTTGTGTGTTTTATTCTGTTGATGTTCTTACTGTCATGTTTTGAAGTGACTAACAGTTGTGTGTTTTATTCTGTTTATGTTCTTACTGTCATGTTTTGAAGTGACTAACAGTTGTGTGTTTTATTCTGTTTATGTTCTTACTGTCATGTTTTGAAGTGACTAACAGTTGTGTGTTTTATTCTGTTTATGTTCTTACTGTCATGTTTTGAAGTGACTAACAGTTGTGTGTTTTATTCTGTTTATGTTCTTACTGTCATGTTTTGAAGTGACTAACAGTTGTGTGTTTTATTCTGTTTATGTTCTTACTGTCATGTTTTGAAGTGACTTACAGTTGTGTATTTTATTCTGTTTATGTTCTTACTGTCATGTTTTGAAGTGACTAACAGTTGTGTGTATTATTCTGTCAATGTTCTTACTGTCATGTTTTGAAGTGACTTGCAGTTGTGATTTATACTGTATTAATCTGCTGTATTGTTAACCAGCAAGGTTAAAGTTATTTAAAGTAAGTGTTTTATACTGTTTATGTTCAACTGTCAGGTTTTGAAGTAACATGCAATTGTATTTCATTCTATTACAATTTGCTGTATTTTGAAGTAACATGTAGTTATGTGATTTATATTGCTCAAGTAAGATCTACTATATTCTGAAGTTATATGTAGTTGTGCGTTTATTTTTACTGTACATAGTTAATTTGCTCTAGTACTAATTTGGATGTTACTACTGTACCTAATGAGACTGTTTTACCTTTTTTACCTACCGGTTGATAATCAATGTCTGCTTTATTCTCTAGGCTTATTTTCACATCGTTTACATTTCCAGTCCCAGCATCTGCAAGAAGTTTCTGTAAGTAAAACATAGATTTTACATTTAATAGATTGTAATGAAAAATAAATGAAACAACTGTTGAATAAAGCAATAATTATTTATTATCCTGCATGACAAAAAACTATATAAATCGGGAGTATCCTCACTTCAAATAACATTAAGGCAGAGAGGATATGTACCGATTATCAGGTTGCCTGCATATTGACATTGTTAAGAATCAGCTGTGATTCACAATATGATGCCCTCACAGATGCAAAGTGTTATTTTAACATACACAAAGTTGAGCATGGGAGCACATAGGTCTATGGTTCACTGTAGGAGGAGTTATCTGGAAACGCTATGTGCCTCTTAAATATGCAAATATATACTCCAAAAATGATAAAGTTCAACTATCTCCAAAAAGAGCAAATAGTAATCAAAATCTAAACCCTGACGACATGCACACCTTCAATATATGTTCAAACAGCCAGCAAAGTTAAAACTTCCTAGCATTCAAACTGTAGGAGGAGTTATCTGGAATAACTATATACCCATAATGGGACGTAAGGACAGACAGGGGTAAAACAATATGCCCCCAGCTTTCAGTTGATGGGGCATAAAAAAAACTTTTGGATAACAATGGTGCGTTGTGTCAATTTTCACTTTATACCATAAAATAGATATGTTTGTTTCAACTAACGAACTTAACAATTGCAAGAGGAGAGAACTTCTGTATTTTTTATTTATTAAAAATTGTCCAATATTTTCTCTAACAACTCAATAGGGTTATGTATTTGACATTGTAAACAAGCATTCTGAAGGTACTAGATATGGAATAAACCTTAAGAGAGTGTATACACTTATATTTAAAAAACATTTGATACATTTCGAAAAATGAAAAAACCTTAAACACTAAACTGCCACTAAATTATGAATGATAATCAGCTCCAAGTTACTGACACCATGACCTCAGAGGATTTCTGGCAAGTTACTAATGATTTATAAAAAATAAATGGGGAAAGTGTCCATGGGAAACAGATGATGCCCCCGCTTGCATATAACGTTATAAAGGGCCATAACTCAAGAACTGTAAAAGTGACACTACCCAAATTTGAACTTGATCTGAGTTTTGTGGTAATAAGAATTGTTTATAAGTTTCATAACATTTAGTTGACGTAAACTTAAATTAGAGAACAGAAACGAAAAATTCAGCAATTTTTCCTTTTTAAAGGGGCATAACTCTAGAACAGTAGAAGTGACGCCACCAAAATTCAACCTTTATCTGTGTTTTGTGGTAATTAGCATTGTGCATAAGTTTCATAACATGTATAGTTGAGGCAAACTAAAGTTAGAGAACAAAAACAAATATTTCAGCAATTTTGAGATTTGTAAAGGGGCATAACTCTAGAACGGTAAAAGTGACGCCAACAAAATTCAAACTTGATCTGTGTATTGTGGTAAAAAGCATTGTGCATAACATTTGGTTGCGGCAAACTAAAGTTAGAGAACAAAAACTAATATTTCAGCAATTTTTCCATTGGAAAGGGGCATAACTTTAGAATGGTAAAAGTGACGCCACCAAAATTCAAACTTGATCTCTGTTTTGTGGTAATAAACATTGTGGATAAGTTTCATAACATTTGGTAGAGGCAAACTAAAGTTAGAGAACGGAAACGAAAAATTCAGCAATTTTTCCATTTGTAAAGGGGCATAACTCTCTAAGGGTAAAAGTGATGCCACCAAAATTCAAACTTGATCTGTGTTTTGGGGTAATAAGCATTGTGGATAAGTTTCATATCATTTGGTTGAGGCAAACTAAAGTTAGAGAATGGTAACCAATTTTGGGATGTACGGACGGACATACGGACGTACAGACGGACAAGGGTAAAACTTAATGCCCCTCCGCTATGGCAGGGGCATAAAAATAAAACAGGCAAGAAATTTCATGCAGTTTATGCCCATCTTTGCTATGAGTTGTTATTAGCAACACCTTAGTCAAATGTTTGTAGTACATTTTTCTTTGTCCCAATCTTTGATCTTGTAATATCTTTTTTTGTAGGTCACGTAGAATTCTACTAGTTTGTATCTCAAATCATCACATACATGTATTTTTGGTAAGAAAATGGAAATAAAAGGTCACATGACAATTGGACTTAAAAGTAAATCTTACCTTATTCCAATATTCCATTATATCCTAAAAATAAAAAAAAAAATATTTCAAATATATACTGTTGTAGTTATCATTGAGTTATAATTGTTAATGCCAATTGAAAATACACGATCATTATGGACTTGAAAATTTCTGACCTAATATTTTCAGATATTAATCTAATCCAAAAACATGTAATACTAGCATCTAAAAGACTATCTCAACTTTTCTGCACTATTTGAAATTTGTGTCGCTCACCTGGTGAAAATATCGCTAGTTTGCTCACTACGATTTTTATATGCACATACTAGTTACTCTTTGTGTTGCTGATAATTTTTGCAATTTACATATTTAACCTAGGTCCTATAGGTTTTTAGATAACAGCCAAAACTGCACACGCTGAAATGTCTCGCCTTCTTTACTGACCATTTATGTTGATATTCCTTAATATAAAGTTTTACTACAAGTATCACATGAACTTAATATGATCAAAGAAAATGAGGTCAAGGTTAGATAAACCAAGCCAGAAATACATGTACATCTTATAATCATTCCATACACCAAATATAGTTGATCTTTTGCTAGTAGTATACAAGACAGACCAAATCATTAAAATTTTATATTGACAAATGAACCATGAAAATTAGGTAAAGGACAGATGAACCCTGTCAGACAGACATATACACCTTACAATCATTCCATGGATCAAATATAGTTGACCTATTGCATATAGTATTTAAGGAAAAAACTGAACCAGGAAAAAACTAAACCAGGAAAACATCATAATGACCAATGAACCATGAAAAAGATGTCAAGTTGAGATGAAACCTGCAAGAAAGGTTTTCCTGTTTGAATTGTTTTACACTAGTTATTTTTTGAGTCTTTATAGCTTGCTGTTCAGTGTGAGCCAAGGCTCAGTGTTGATGGCCGTACTTTGACCTATAATGGTTTACTTTTTACACATTGTGCCTGGGATGGAGAGTTGTCTCATTTGCACTCATATCACATCTTCTTATATCTATATAGTATATACACTTTAAAATCATTCCATGCACCAAATATAGTTGACCCATTGCTTATAGTTTAAGAAAAACGACCAAAACAAAAAACTTAACATTGAGAAATGAGCCATGAAAATGAGGTCAATGTCAAATAAAACCTGCCAGACTAACTTGTACATAATAAAATATTTCCATACATCATATATAGTCGACCTATTGCATACAGTACTAGAAAAACAGACCAAAACAAAACAACTCAACTATATCCACTGAACCATGAAAATGAGGTCAAAGTCAGATGACACCTGGCAGTTGGACATGTACAACCTACAATCATTCCATACACCAAATATAGTAGACCTATTGCTTATATGCTTATTTCTGAGATATGGACTTGACAACGAAAACTTGTTCACTGATCTGTGAAATGAGGTCAAGGTCAAGTGAAAACTATCTGACAGGCATGATGACCTTGCAAGGCACGCACATACCAAATATAGTTATCCTATTACTCATAATAAGAGAGAAATTAACAATACAAAAAAACTTTGAATTTTCTTTCAAGTAGTCACTGAACCATGAAAATGAGGTCAAGGAATTTGACATATCATATCATATGACAGACGGAAAATTCATAACATAAAACATCTATATACAGAGTATGAAACATCCAAGTATTCTAGCTTCTGAAATATTTAGCTATTTAGTTAGTTAGCGCCGCCATCGCCGCTGGATCACTATCCCTGTCGAGCTTTCTGCTATAAAATGGTGATACATGTATGCTAGCTTAGTTGATCTTCAAAATTTTACAATCCTTGAGCATCTTTAGGCTTGTCAGTTTTGAAAATGAGTCTAGATAGTTTTCATGACTTCATGACTCATTGACTGCCTTATTGAGAACCCTGTCTCCAATCTTTCATTCATACAGCTCATTTTTTAGTTAACAACTCTATTTTTATATGCAATTTATATTGTAATGATTGCAATGTTTATTAGTTTTTTACTCTAACATGCAATTAATTTTGTAAATAGGTCATGCTATTTTTGTTGAACAGTTGCTCAATGAAAACTGTTTATCCTGTTAAAAAGGAATTAAAAGCACTGGTGTAATGCAACCTACTAGAATGAACCAGCTAGCTCTTGATTATCTCCCCTTTTATAATTTTAACAATTACATGTACATTGTAGTTCATTTAATAAACTGGGGTATTTACCACTCAACCTTGTTATACTGTGACATACCAGTATCCTTATAATACAAAAAAACTCAGCTATTTTCTAGAAAAGTTAAATTTCTTAATCTAATATTTATAATCAATTATTATAAATATTAATCAAAGCATCGTCGATGTTGTGATCCAGCCATATTGGATTTGAATACCAAAAATGCTAACCGGTTAACGAGACCTTTTTCAATTTTAATAGATTAGATATATAAACTCTTTGACACATTCCCCATTTCCATTCTCAATTTTATGTGTATTGCAGTCATTATATTCCAATTTTTAAATAATCATCTTGCTACTTAATTTGACAGATCATTGTCCAGTATATTGATTGCTTTTCAATTACCTTGAAAACATTCCAATTTTAAAAAATTAATAAGCACAAATACAACTTGTCTATCAGCTTGCGGCAAGATCTAAAGTAAACATAATTATCATACATGTATGTATTTTGAACAATTATAAGCTGATTAAGTTTTACTGTTTACTTCATTATTTCATTGATTTAATATTGCATAAATATGCCAACTCCATCGTCCAAGGCTTTCTCATAATTTAGACGAAATCCCAACTCAAAAACCGGATAAACACATAGATCAAGAAGATTTCCATTTTCTCAATCTGAATTTATTATTGTAGATATAGTTGTATTGGATTATCAAAAATATCTAAAACAGGAATTCTAAAAGCCAAACCTTATAATGGCTAAGAATAAACTTCAATTCATCGTACCATGAAGCCATGTATTTAACCCCGTCACATTCTATATGTGACTGTCCCAAGTCGTAGCCTGTAATTCAGTGGAAGTCTTGTGTTGCTGTATATATTTTTTTTTCGTACATAAGTCAGGCTGTTAGTCTTCTCGTTTGAATTGTTTTACATTTTTCATTTAGGGGCCTCTTATAGCTGACTATGCGGTATGGGTTTTGCTCATTGTCATAAATAAAGGCAACAGTAGTATAACGCTGTTCAAAAGTCATAAATCGAAAACAAATCTGTAAAACACATAAGCCGTACAGTGACATATAGTTTTGTTAACTTCTATGTCATTTTGTCTCTGGTGGAGTGTTGTCATTGGCAATCAAACCACATCTTTATATTATTTTTATATTTTAAGAGTAATGTAGTCAAAGATTTTATCAATCAACTTAACTACAGGTCAAAAGATTATCCAACTAACCGGTTAGGCAAAACTGTTTACTTTGACAAAACTAATTTATGTATATATTTAAGATAGATTAGATTAGAGATAACTGTATTCTATGTGAAGCTGTGCAGACGTCCATCGGTAGTTTTACTGTCGCAAATTGAATTTCCCTGGAAACACGTAGTGGAGATAGTTGTCTCATTGGCAATCATACCACATCTCCTTATTTTTACTTTGGTGGATAGTTCTCATTGGCAATCATACCACATCTCCTTATTTTTACTTTGGTGGATAGTTCTCATTGGCAATCATACCACATCTCCTTGTTTTTACTTTGGCAAATAGTTCTCATTGGCAATCATACTACATCTCTTTATATTTACTTTGGCGGAGAGTTCTCATTAGCAATCATACCACATCTCCTTATTTTTACTTTAGCAGATAGTTCTCATTGACAATCATACCACATCTCCTTTTTTTTACTTTAGCAGATAGTTCTCATTGACAATCATACCACATCTCCTTATTTTTACTTAAGGAGATAGTTGTCTCATTGGCAATTATACCAAATATCCTTATTTTTACTTGGCGGATAGTTGTCTCATTGGCAATCATACCACATCTCCTTATTTTTACTCTGGCGAATATTTCTCATTGGCTATTATACCACATCTCCTTATTTTAACTTTGGAAGATTGTTGTCTCATTGGCAATTATACCACATCTCCTTATTTTTACTTTGGAAGATTGTTGTCTCATTGGCAATTATACCACATCTCCTTATTTTTACTATTGCAGATCTTCTTATTTTTACTTTGACGGATAGTTCTCATTGGCAATTATACCACATCTCCTAACTTTTACTTGGCGGATAGTTGTCTCATTGGCAATCATACCACATCTCCCTATTTTTACTCTGGTGGATAGTTCTCATTGGCAATCATACCACATCTCCTTATTTTTGCTTTTGTGGTGAGTTCTCATTGGCAATCATACCACATCTCCTTATTTTTACTTTGGCGGATAGTTCTCATTTAGTAGGGTGCCCAGTCAACAAATTTGATCGATTTGGGTTAACGGAATAACACACGGCTGTATTTCATATCATTGGAAAGAGAAGAACAAGCCTCATCGAAATATTGATGCCGTCGTTGTCTACAGTTGTCACGATTTTCTTAAATTTGGGTCAAAGGTCAAAGCTAAAATTTCAAGGAAAAAACGGAGTCACGTTTAGACAGCTGGCCGCCACTACATATATATATATATGCATTTATAGCAAAATAAATTCGAATAATTCAAAGGATTATAACTATAGTTTCTATATTAAGGAATTATTTGATATTTATGCTGCCAAATATGGTTCAAGATTGGCATTTGTACTCATAGGGTGCACATTTACAATTTTCATTCAGCTGTTAAATAACAATGACCTTGACCTATTAAAATTTTCGAATTTTTACATAAGATTCGATACAAGTGATCTCTAGAGATGTTTTTTAGATATTAACATTTATAAGTTGCCCTGCCAACATGTTATTTTTCCATCTTTTGATAGGTGTTCGTAATGATTTTCTGGGTAAATATCCAATTTTCTTTTGGTAAGTGTTGAAGCACATAAAATTGTATTTAGTTCCAAAACTGGTGTAATACTATTGCAGAATGGATTGAATT